ATTTATTGTTTTAGTCGAATGATGTTGATGTGTAGGAATTAATGATAAATGATTAGAATCAAATAATAAATCACTTTGAGTTGATTGATGACGACTATTCGATTTTTTTATTATAGATGGTGATTGTTCATCATTATTTATATTTTCAGAATCAGATAAACCATCTTCAAGTACAGGCATACCTGAAGAAAAAAAAACATATATATATATATATATTTAATTAAAATCGATATCAAATAATTTTTTTTTTGTTCTTTATATTTTATATGAAGATTGATTGTTTGACTAAACGATTTTGATAATAGAATATTTCATGTAATCCTAGATTGAACTATACGGTCCGTAATATCAGGTGCAGAAATACGACATCACATACGGTATCGCACTACTATGCCCAAAATTACGAGAAAACACGATCGGTTTACGTGTCGTACGATGCAAAGTTTCGGTAAAAATATGGACAACTGTATCCGTCGACCTGGAATTAGAGCCTATTGAATCCTACCTGGACGAGATTGGATCCGGGTTCTGTCTGGGATAACTACAAAGAAACTACTGGTGATGGTTTTTTTTTGAAAGTGGCGTAACAAAACGGGCGAATATTTCTGTTAAAACTGATAGAATTGAATTATTTTCGAGATAATTTTGTGGTATGCGTACTTGCCGCAGAGCCCAAATTAGTCTCGGTTATGAGGCCTGGAAAATTTGTTATAAGTAAAATATATTCTGAAAATGTTTTCTTTTCGATTGATTTGAATTCTTTCTAAGATGTAATTTGAATTTGAGTAGAAAACATTCTCTGCAATCGTTTATGATCAGAATTAAAAGTCGTAAATGCTACCATCGAATAGTGCGAACAAACGTGCGACATGAAAGGATGTATTTTTAATTTATTTTTCTAAAGAATGTAGAGTTTCTGTAATTACAAAGTTGTGAACTGGTCTAAGAATTTCTAGAATATATAAATACTTGTCAGACTTCTATTTTCTTAGTAACTTTTCATGAGAATTTTGTAATTAAAAATAGATTTAACTTACTGGCAGCTATATTAGATTTAATACTATCAAGTGAAATAATACTATCTGTATCATTAATTCTTCCATCATCACCATCATCAGACAATAAATCTGGTGATAATCTAGATAAACTTCCATTGATTGTTTGACGATTATGTTGATAAGATTGGAATGATTTATTAATTACTATATTCTTTTTTTGATTTTCATTTGTGACTAGATCAGATAATTTTATGGAATCATCACTAATTGATGGTGAATTTTCAGAATGTTCTTTTGTTGGAGTTGTTGTTAACGTAGATGAAATATTATCTAAACAATTCAATATTGATATTTTTCTTTTCTAATATTAATTTATTTCAAGATTTGATATCTATTTAATATTATACCTGACAATGATGCATGTTCTTGAAAAAGACGAGCTGCTACTGCTTGTTGTTGTGTATAATAAGCTGATAAAACATGTGGACTATAATGTTGTTCAATTAATAATGGATCATATGATGGATAGAATGATGGTAAAGTATTATTTGTTGGTGGATAAGGTAAATAAAGTCCTGGATGTTGATGTGTTACAAATGGATAAATTCCAGGAGGCCATAATGGTTGTCCATAAGGATCAATAGTTGATGGTGGAATTATAGAACGATGATAATATTGTTCATTTTGTATTGATTCTTGATTTATTGAATCTGGTGTCATATTACGTGAATGATGATTAATTATATCATTAGTTGATGATGTACTATCAAATAATTCAAGATCATTTTTTGTTAATTGTGAAGGTTTTATTGTTGTTCGACGAACTTGTGTAACAATTGTTTCAAGATTTTTTTCTAATGCTGCATCAATACGTTTTGTTTCAAATGATTTTAATGATGACATTGAATTAAGTTTAGATAAATTTAAATTATTATTTATAGGAGATGATCGATTAGATATATGTTGATTTTCATCTAGATAAACATAATATAATTCTTAGAATGAAACACAAAGAACACATTCTTACAAAGAATATGTTGATTCGTAGGTGATGATCTATCGTCTTGTTGTATTATTCTTGTTGTTGTTGACAAGGATTCATTATTGTCTAATGTTAAATCAGTTACAGATGACGACGATTGTTTAGAATTATTATCATCGATCTATGTAATAAAATAAAAAGAATAGGTATCGATTCCAGGAAAAAACTGTCTTTTTTTTTATAATGAATACTCTATGTTTTAACCTTCAATTATTAGTAGTATGAATGGTGTACTAACTTGATTTTTTACAAATCTATTTGTATATATATATATTTATCAGCTTTTGAAACAAAACAAAAGCAACTATGAAAGAAATTAAATAGCAGACAGAGAAGTCTTAGAGTTAATTTATAATGATGGATCGATAGTTGATGAAATGTTAAGACGAAGAAACAGAAGAAGAGAATACTCTTGAGTCAAACTATGATATACTATTGACAGCACGATCAACACATGCAATTAGAAGGATGAATTGACTTTACACTTATGTTCTCTTTTTGCTAGAAGACATACGTCATTGCCCCATATTCACATAGATGGCTCATGTTTTAAATTATACAGAGATGGATGCTCAAGATGGAATAATCATGCAAGCTTATTTTCTCGAGGGATTATAAAGAATACAGTGAAAAAAAACTCACGTGTTGATGATGATGATGATGTTTACGACGAGATTTTTTTTCTCGTTATGTTACTTATTGATAAAGACAGCATATCTTATTCATTTTGAATCATTCAATCTTAAAACATATTAATACTAATCCGATGGTCTCTATCTGTTTCTTTCGCCCTCTTTTTTTTTTCCTAGTTTTGTTTTTTCTGCTTCAATCCATCTGTCAATACACAGGAAGAAGAAGAAGAAGAAGAAAAAATCATCGGAGAATCAAACAATGAACTCTTCTTTATCAATTTATATGCTAAAAGAAAAAAAAGTTCCTGGTTCTCATCAAGCGGTAACAAACGAAGAAAAACGAATCACATATGATTAACATAGAATACCAACAATTTCTTTAAAAAAACGGAAGTAAGATATTTCTTTTTCTCAGACTAACAATAGAATAAGACAGTAGAGAAGATGGATAGACAGATGGGCAAACATATATGTGCTCAAGGGTATATATATTTATCGAATTGTTTTTAATTGATGAAACATTTCGAATAATAACAACAAAACACAAAACAAGATGAATGAGATAATAATAATAAAAACAAAATACATAGGGGAAAACAGTTAATAACATGATCTTCTATTTTTGGAATAAATAAAATCAAATTACCTGAGATTTTAAAGATATTATTGTATCTTCATTATTAACTGGCATTATAGATAATCCATCATTTTCAACAACAACTTCTTCATTAATATTATCAATGTTAATTGTATTCGAAGAATGTAAACATTCCATTATGTCAATCCTTCATTTATATACGATGAGAATACTATAAAGTAAGAAAAATGAATGAGTGCTTTGTCGTCTTAGTAAATACATTAGACTATGATCTGAGAAAATCAAATTGATTCTGATCGTTTACATTATATACTCGTACTATAAACGTTAAATTCAATAAAATTAACTTTTGACACATACTCAATATGGCATGGCAGGAATTTATTTATATAGAAAAAGAAAAAGAAAAAGGTATATAGTTCTCTGATTGCAAAAAATAAAAGAAGACAACATGCTACACGTGTATTATTCATTGGCCAATGATAATAATGATGAAAAAAGAAGAAAAAAAAAAGAAGTAGAAGAGTAGCATCAGTACCAGTAGGAAATGAAAAAAAAGGCGAAGAGAAGAATAAAAAAGTAATGAGTATGAGGCGTTTTAGACTTGCAAGTCTTACTTTATTGTAGATTTTTTTTCTTCTTCTTTCTCTATACAATAATATTGATAATGATGCCATTGTGACACATTGACATTCTTTTTTTTCCACAAGTAAAAAACATATATTTAAGTATATGCGTGTATGTGCACGTACATGCTATGCATTTTGTGTTTTCTATTAAAAGAAACAAAAAAAAAACATCAATAGAATGAATGAAGTAAATCTGAAGAAAAATCTCAATCGAGTTTTTTACCTCAGGAAAAAAAAAGAAAGAAAAAGCATAAGTAAAACGGAAGAAAAAAATATATAGGTTGCATGTTCAGTGAGTAATAGATATTCTCATTTGGACTAGGTTCTATTACTCTATATGTGTGTGCTTAGAAAGAGCGAGAAATTATCTAGAGATCAATTTCAATAGCGGCATTGTTATTTTTTACTTCTGATGTATTCGAAAAAAATAAAGATAAAAGAATATTATTGTGTTAATGTTCATGGAAAGAAATAAGATATATTTTTGTGAATCATAAAAATGCTTTTATGACATAGAATGTTCTAGCTCTAAAGCCATATTTTCATTGCATAACTGACTCACCTAATCATTATAAACTTGATATATTACATTTGGTTTTGATTAGAAAAATAAAAAGTATTATCATCTAAGTAAACAAAAAAAGAGACAACCATGAGAAACAAATAAACATCTAGTCGACTAATGTGTTTTTGTTTATTAAATAAATAAAAGAAAAAATATAGTACAAAAGTAACAATTAAAAAAAGAAATAACATGAATGATGCTTTTATATAGAGAATATGTTAGATGGGTTCCGGATTCGACCGAATCCAGATTTGTAATCGACCCAAGGGTATCATATTCTGAAAGCAATAGATAATTATAACTTGATTATTATAAGATCAATGTCAAAATTGTCTGAGAAATGTTTAGAGTATGTTAGTAGTAGAATACAAATTATTAACAAAAAAGTATCTAAGATCTTTGGTATGATTATCAGATGTAGATTGGAAATTTCGTTGAAAATAGAAATACAATTCGAATATAACTACAAAACACGTTTAATAAATCGAGTTCGTATCACAAAAAAAAAGTTTTTTTTTTATTGAACACCACGGACTTTATTTTAATGTACGAATTTTTGCAAATATCTCTTGTTTTTCACCAGGATTCATAATAGCTGTATAAATTGTAATTCTATTAAGCACCGGTATAACAGATAAAACAATATTAAAAATATTATTTGTTGTCATTTGTGTTAAATTAAATGTTTGAAGAATATTTTCTGCTGTTGTTCGTCTTAGATCTTGTAATGGATCATCTAACCAATGATCATAGTTTGTTTGTACAAGTGTAGAATTTAATTCAATAGGATAAATTGAATTTAAACGATTACGTGTTATAATCATACCTGATGAATGACCATCAGTTACAATAAAATAAACAGGTGCAATTAAATGTTGAGTTTCAAGTGCATATACCATATCTTTATAGGACATAAATGGATTATCAAAAATAAAACGTGTAAAAATAAATAAAGGCATTGAATGTAAATGTAAAATAGACATTAATGCATTCATCCACCAATGTTTATTACTTATTTGTCGTTGATTAATACTAAAACTAAAATAACCTTGACGTAAACTAGTTAATAAACCAATTGAACCAGCAAAATGAATCGATTCATATTGAAATGTTAAATTAGATGTTCGAAAAAATTTTCCATGAAATGTTAAACGACGAAGTAAAGCTGCATTTATATCAAAATCAAGATTTCGACCATGTAAAATAGTACCATTTAATGTACGAACAAGTAAACTTGTACAAAATGTACGAAGTTCATAAACAAGATTAATAAGAACAATATCAGCTAATGGCATTGATATTGCTCGAGCTATTGAGTAAAATTCATCATGATATGGTTGAGGTATATGATTATCTAATCGAGTAGCAACTATTTCAGCAACATCAATATAGACTTTAGGAATTTGTGCACGAATTTCATCATTAAATTCATGTAAAGGTTGAGCAAAATTTGGTATTATAGTTGACCATCGATCAATTGGATTAAGATCAAGATCAATTGAAAAACTAGGAATATCAAGTGGAATATCACTATTTACAAATGAAATAAATAATAAAAATAATTTAATATACATAATCTAAAAGGGAGAAAAAAATTTAAAATGGGAAACCAAATTTTTATTTTAATAAGTCAAAAATTCATCAGGCGTTTAATCGCTTCTAAACAACGCCATTTAGATGGGAAATAGAAAGGTTCAAATACATGTGGAATTGGATGAATGTCATAACCACAAACACGTTCTACCGGTGCTTCAAGATTTAAGAAACATTCTTTCTAAAAAAAAATAAGACAAAAAGAGAGCATAGAAAAAAAAATCAAAAATTTATTAATTGATTTTTCTCTACATACAGCAACAGTTGCCGCTATTTCTGCTCCAACTCCACCAGTTATGGGTGCTTCATGACTTATTAATAGTCTTCCAGTTTTACTAACTGATTGACAAATGGTATCAACATCCCATGGTAGAATAGTTCGTAAATCAATTAATTCACATGATATATTGTCTTTTGCTGCCATTTGTGCAACTTCTCGAAGTACATGAACTTGTGTACCCCATGAAACAAGTGTTACATCAGAACCTTCATGTATTATTTGAGCTTTTGATAATGGAATTGTATATTCTTTTATAGGAACATCTTCTTTAGCTGATCGATAAAGTATTTTTGGTTCAAAAAATATACATGGATTTTCATCTTTAATACATGATAGAAGTAAACCTTTAGCTTCAATAGCACTACGCGGAATGACAACCTAAAAATTAAATATTAAATCAAGTTATTAATTAGATTCATTTTTTTTTTACTTTAAGACCAGGCGTATGCATAAATTGTGCTTCAGGTGATTGTGAATGATACAATGCACCATGTCCTACAGCACCCCATGGTGCACGAATAGTTAATTTACCACAATTAAATAAATTCTGTGAACGATATCGATATTTTGATGCTTCATTTACAATCTAAAATAATTCAATAACAAACAAAAGCAATGTTAAAAAGAAAATAATTTTACTTGATCATAAGCAGGAAAAATATAATCAGCAAATTGTATTTCAGCAATAGCTGTTGTTCCAGCGACGGCGGCACCTATTCCAAAGCCAACAATACCTTGTTCACATAATGGTGTATTGAACACACGATCAGCACCTAAAATAAGAATAATTGGAAAATAAGAATAAAAAACAAAATTTTTTTCTAACCATATTTTGATCGTAAGTCTGTTGTACACCGGAAAACCCCGCCAAATGCAACATCTTCACCAAATATAACTACAAAATAAATTTTAAATAAATAGATAAAAATAGAAAAAAAAATCAGCTTTTACTAGCGGTAAGATCATTGGCAAGTGTAATATCAAGTGTATTTTGGATTGTTTGACATAGATTCATTTCTTTTGTAGGACCTTGAAAATAAACTTTCGATTATTAAAAAAGAAAATTAAAGAAATAAACCAACCATGAGATGGATCAGGTTGATCTTTGAAAAATGTAAAATGAGCTACATGACGTCGTAAGAAAAATGACGAACATTTTGGAGTATTAACAATTAAACGACGAAATAATGAATTCATGGATGAGAAGAAAAATCTTCAAAAAAAAAACTAATTAATAGTAATCATACATATATTAGGTTATTATATTAAATCAAACATTTGTATATATATATACATATATATTCATTCGAAAAGTTGAGATCAGCAGAAGTAGTAATAGTAGTAGTAAAATCTATTTTTTAATACGTACGTGATCTACCAATAGAAAAATAGAAAGAACAAAGATGGCATTTGAGTAGGAACTGTACGATTTCTTGCTTGTTCGCTTTTTATTATTAAGGATATTCTGAAATTCGCAATCATTTTTAGACTCTTATATCGACAGCAATACTCACCAGCTAGAAATTGGAAATTCAATAATAATTTAGATGAAACTTAAGGTATTTTGTGATGAGAAGCTTGAAACATTGTCACAAAGCACCCCACTAGTGAAGTTATAAAGACTAGCATATACAATCCTGATGTGAGTACTCCAAACATTGAATCCCACTTGATTTCCTTGAACTTCTTGAGTTTCAGTTTTTCTGGATAGTGCATATATCTCTATCAATATAGAGCAAATTTTATTCTTTATATTTTTCAAAACTCAAATATGAAAGCATTGACTAGTTTATTAAAATATATTTCTGATAAAATAATAATATTGATATTGACGATTAAAATTTAGGGTAAAAAGCAGTAAGAAATAAAAACAAAATATGAAAAAGGTTTATATTGACTTAATGAGTCTGATTTATAATTTGATAGGGACTTGTATATGAAGAAAACCATCATCTTTCAATTCTGTTGTCAAATGATCAACTTCACAAGAAGAAAACAGAGTAACTTGACGATAACTATGTTCACCTAGAAAAAAACAAATTTTATTATATAGTGAATATTTATCTTTAAAAATACTTACTCATATAGTGAATACCATCAGTTGATACTTTATTATTAACTTCGATGCGTAAATCATATCCATTAAGTGAAATTTTCATTTGATCCAATGTTGTACCTGGCTTCATTTGTAAACGCATATAGAGAACTTTCTTGCCATCAGGACCATCAACAAGTGATGGATTCCAGGTTTTATTTTGAAGAAATTCTTCAAGTGTATACTTTCTATTTTGATTACTGCTTGATGTTGTCTAAAAAAAACAAACGAAAATGACAGAGAATGATGCTTGTTTCTTTTCAACAATTACTTTTGAATCATGACGTTCACTAGTGCTTGACTGTTGTTGATTTAATGTGTTTTGTGATGTATTGTTTGTTGTACTTGTAGTTTTAGTTGATGTTGATTGTGCATCAGTGCTACGTGTAATTGGTATAGAAACACCTTGATCAATGTTTCCTTGTACTTCTTTTGTTGTTGTACTTGTAGTTTTAGTTGATTGTGCATCAGTGCTATGTGTAATTGGTATAGAAACACCTTGATCAATGTTTCCTTGGAATTCTTTTATTGTTGTAACTTTTTGGTGTTGAATTGTTATTGTACCACCACTAGCCAAAAGTTCCGGTGAAATTTGTATTGGTAAATTTGCCAAATCTATCAAAAAAAAATACAGACTTGAAAAAAATTATGCTAAAAAACTTTACCCGAACTTGTTGATACTGTTTGTTTAGTTGTTGTTGATTGTGCATCAGTGCTATGTGCAATTGGTATAGAAATACCTTGATCAATGTTTCCTTGGATTTCTTTTATTGTTGTAACTTTTTGGTGTTTAATTGTTATTGTACCACCACTAGCTAAAAGTTCCGGTGGAATTTCTATTGGTAAATTTGCCAAATCTATCGAAAAAAAAAATACATACTTGAAAAAAATTATGCTAAAAAATCTTACCCGAACTTGTTGACACTATTTGTTTAGTTGTTGTTGATGATGATTTATCAGGGTCAGCAACATCAATTTTTTGAATGCCTGTATCCGATGAATAATGTTCTGATGTATGTGTACTATGAGAATGAATATTGCTAGCAGTTGTTGTATCCACATTTTTAAGTAATTCAGCTGCATCATGTGTAAGATCAGTTAAGCCGCCTGTTGTCGTTGTTGTTGTCGTTTTTTTTGTAGTTTTTGTAACAGATGTTCGTTGAATTTGTTGATCTGTTGTTGAAGAACTAGAGACATCATTTGATGTTGATAATAAACCTTGATTATTTGATGTACTATATTTATCCAATGAAAATGATAGACGACGTTGATTATTTTGATTGCTAGTAATATTTAAATGATCAGCTTGTGTTGATGTATGAAGTGGAATTTCAACAACAAGCATATGAGCTGGAGTTATAAATGATGCAATTGAATCAACATCAGCATCACCTGGAAGCTCAACATTTTTTTCAAATTTTTTTTGTACAAAACGATTTTCAGTACGTTCTTCATAAACACCTGATATGGTTAATTTATGATTTTGAATATAAATCTAAAGAAAAGAAAAGAAAAGAAAATAGAAATGCAATTAACAGCTTTTTTTTTTCTTTTTTCTTACTTTAATTTGATCAGGCTGAAAATTTTCAACATCAAATGTAATACGAAATTTTTCTGCATCATAAGAATGTTTTTCTTCTACTAATTGTTGATTTGGACGACTAAGCCAACGAATATTTTCATCTTGACCAGGTGCAAAATCAAATGCATTAAACCATACCTCAGTTTTATTATTTGAAGCACTTGAATTTGTATTTGTACGATGAATTGGTACGCTCTGTGTAGCCATTTATATGTATTATTCGTATGGTAGATAACCGTGGTTTGTGCTACGAGTATTTATGTATGGATATTATTCTCTTTTCCTTTTCAAGTAGGCGGATAATGACAGTATTTTACTCATCTGAAAAATAGCTGTTTGCACCCACTTCTTTTTCTTCTAAATGTGCAAAATTGTTGCCATTTCATTATTCATTGATATTTAAATTTTACACTTTTTTATTTTATATGTTAAAAAGTACATGTACGAAACATTGATATAACGATATCTGTCTACTCATAGAGATCAATGATTTGTTCAGGCTTATATATATATATATATATCTAGAAACTCGTCGATCACAAGAATTTCAATGCTTATTATTCTACATATGAAGATAAGATATCGAAATAAAAAGCCAACTAAGCACGATAAATCTTTCGACAAGAAGGTTATAGAACATTCTTTTAAATGTTACACAGAAAACCAAATATCGCCTACAATATAATTGCCAGTATTTATGTGTTAGTAATATAAACAGATGGATCGACATATGTCTATAGATATTGTCTTGCTTTCGTGCAATAATAGTTAACAGTAATCAAATGATTGATTTCTTCATGTCATATGTTCTTTTTAGGTGTGGTCTAACATTGTACTAATAACCTGAAAAACAAATTTTTAGATTTTGGAATATAAATTCACTGATAAAAAATATTCTTAATAATAATAAGAACAAAATCATTTATGATGATTTGATAATTGAAGAAAATTTATTTAGGTATGAAAAACAAATTGAACATTTGGTTTCTTATTTTTCTTTAATAAATCCATGCTGAAATGCATATTAACTCGTTAATTGAATTATTTTGTGTTTGTCTTTTAAATTTTATTTGAAAATTTATTTTTTTTTTACAAACATGTACTTTTTCAGATGCATGTAACAAGAGATTATTTCTTTAAAATTTTCATTTGATTTTAATTAAATTATTTACATAGTTTGACGAATAGAAGCAAAATGAGATTTCGTCATTGAAAAAGAAAAAGTTTGTTTTTGTTTTTCACATTCTTATGAATTCATTTTATATGATAGAACAAAATCTATTTGAAAGTTAAAACAAAAACACTACTCGTAGAAAAATCGACTGTTTTTTTTGTTTCTTTTTTAACCTCGAAACACGAGTAAACAAAGTCAAAACAAATAAATCAATAACTTTTATATTATATCGATCAAAATATAAAAATAAAACGAAGTGAACACATAGAAGTAGATGGTCGTTATACTCGTCCGAAAAACGAAAATTGATATTTATCGAAATCTTGAATTAAAACCAACAAATAAATCAATCCACACCGGAGAAGATGGATTTCTCTAATATGAATTTAATAGATGAAGACATTCCAATTATTATAGATAAAGCCATTAGACAGAAAAAACCTCCATCTTTATCATTATCAACAAACAAAATAATGGTTGAGGATATTCGAATGCTGGTCGATGTTCTTAAGGACCCAGTCAGAACTGATTTACCACTTAGAATGGACCATTTGGGCTGAAACTTTCAGGAATGAGTGATTCTAGTGAGAAACGCTTGTGGTAAAAATTTCATCCTGATATACCCTGTTAAATCGAACTTTCGGTTTATTTTCTTACCTCCCGAGAGAATTGAAATAACTTCGTCGTTATAAGGGCTAGAGAGTTCGGACTGGTTTCAGATTAAAGCTAGCTTCTGTGCGCAACTTTTCATCGGACGGAATTTTGAAACTCCTTTCCATTCATTTTTTATGACCATATTTGTGGATATGATATGCAAAATAAACATGAAAAAAATATCATTCCACGACAATAAATTACACTTTTCTCAGCCCTGGAATTAAGTATCAAAAATCCGTCCTAGGAAAAGTTAGCTCTGATCAAGACCTTTAAAACAAAAAAACAAGCATCGGTGATACCTTGAACCGAGGGGGAGTTATTTCAATTTTCCTACCTAGAAACCGTGTTTTGAGAAAAACACTAAAGTTTTAAAAATGGATTTTTTCATTCAAATCCAGAACAAATCATATTATAATGGTATATTTTTAATATATTTCAGTGGACTGTTTTGAAGTATGTAATAGATGAAGGTAGCTAACGCAGTATTTCCAAGACTGAAAAACTTTAAAAACCATAAAAATTTCTCCGAAAATATGGTAGTAGAGTCAAAGTTTCATATGATAAGTCTCTGAAGATCTGGTCATTTTCCAAAAAGCCATATATATTCTGAAAAAGGAAGCTTTGCTACATCTTCCTATGATAAAGACTCAACTTCAATATTTTTTTGAAAAATCCGATTTTCTAAGGGGTTCCTTAAAACAATTACAAATCTTATGCATCTTTATTTATCATCAAATCCTATTAGAAATACAGGAATGAACTATATCAGAGATTTAATTCGAAATAATCGAAATCTCCAGCATTTATCCTTAGATGATATTGGAATATTAGATCGTGGAATCCAAATTGTTATTGATGTACTTAGTTCAAATTCACCATCTATTCGATGTCTTGATCTTCGATCAAATGAATTCATCATAGATGAATCAGTAGATTTTCTTCATCAAATAGTTAAATAAAATCAAATATTATCTGCTTGTCATTTGGATAACTGTGGATTGACTGAAGAAAGTAAAGAAAGATTTCGATAAGCAAAACCAATCGAATGATATTTACAAAAAAAAACGCATGACATTTTTAAAAATTATTCTTGCATTTTTTTTCTTATTCATTCCAATTTATTTTATATTTCATACTTAAACTTACTTCATTTCATACTAAACACAAACAATTTTTATTCTAAGTGACTTTGACCATATATATTCAATACGTGGCAGTAAAAGATTTGCAGACGTCAGCATTTCTCGCCGTGAATTCTCAATCTATTATTGACAATTACACTGATAAGCCTTCCTAGACTAGATGTATCAGATAAATGGCTAGTTTATCTATAGACTACTTATCGCTGCATGATATTCGTCGTTATCATTTACCACGCGTCGGCTTAGTATTAACTGATACCATTTAATACTAACTGATAACAGTAGTAGCAATATGATACTTCTATCTTTGATCTACCGAACAAAATGAGACGTTGATATCTGTTTAACTGTTGAAATAGTTTATATGGACTTTTCATAATTTCATTGATTGTTTGCAAAAGTCGTGTTTCCTATAATTGTATTTGCATTGACTATTCGAAACGACCTCACGAAACTAAAACACGGAAGTCTAGATTTTTTAAAATATTTGAAACAAGGAATGTTATATTGAATTACCATTGAAACCATTTTGTTTTCTTTACCATTGGGTTGAGCTACCTTCAGCTCAATGAATGTCGAGTTCATTGACATCAACTATACTTTTGAATTCACATATTAAAAATAACATATTTTATAGAAACTGTTATTCTGCGCTGATGAATACAATAACTCAAGCACATCATGTCAATATACTTTTAAAAATAACATGAACCTTCTGAACTTTTTTCTTCATCTGTTATTGCTGTGTAGTTTCTCTCGTATGATCGATCTTCTACAATATCATATATGTTACTTGCTCTGTCAAATTCTATTAGTAGCTTTCATATTACAATCAGAAGTAAATCAAATTTGACCATCCGTAAAACTATTATGATTCTAATATGAATAAGTATCGACAATTTTATCTGAAATATGCTGAATAAAACTTTAAAGAACATAAGATCAGATAATTACAAAATCATGTAAATCTTTTGTTTTATTTAAAAAAATTTACACAGTTCTTTTTGTCGTTTGGACTTTTGAAACTTTCCATATTTTCAAATTGTTTTAACATAACATCACGAATCGCCATGACTGAATAAGTCACTAACGGCTATTTGTATTGGATCATCCGTCCGATAGTACACTGACTAAGTTGTGACATACACCTGTTCGTGTAGTTAGTGAGTGTGTATGGAAATATAACGGTTCTGCGTTAGGGCAGCCTTCTGTCCATAGCTACAGCTAGTATTAGTTGTCGAGAAGATATAGAACTATTAGATCTGTCGCTAAACAGTACTCCATACTTCAAGATAGCTGAAAAGCATGGATGTTCTTCCTATTTCCATTCTATCATCAGTTCATCTTTGTGAATAACAATTCTATTAAATTCTACTTCCACATTGACTTATGCTATAATCACATTTACGAACATAAACTATCAAAATTATCTTTTCGTTTTATATTTACATACATATATATATCTATATATATACATTTTTTTTTGAATCATATGAATTAAAATTTTTAACAAAATTGTTTAAAATCTATTTAACAAAAAAAAGAATAAAAATAATTTTTTAAACAAATATTTCAAGTAAATTATCAACTTGATTTCTACAAATTGGACATGTTTGTTTTTGAGTATTATTCCACAATTGTTTACTACATGTTACACAAACACATAAATGTCTACAAGGTAATAAGACAATATTTTTTCTATTGTTATAACAAATAATACATAAACAAGAATCATTAGTTAATTCTTGTTGTAATTTTCGACGCATAAATCTTGCATAAGATGGTCGTAATGAACGTTTATCAATATTAAATTGAAATAAATAATCATCATCATCATCATTATTAGCATTGTTACGATTATTATCATGATTAATATTTGTTACATTATTTTTCTTTATATCAATAAATTGACGAATTAAAAATTTTTTTAAGAAATAAAAACTAATAATAATTAAACAAATACTTATCATAATATCAATTTTATCCGATAATAATAAATTAATCATTATATCTAGAATTATTATTATTTATTGTCTTATGTTTTGTTTTAAGAAAAAAAAACGTTCACATGTTTAGAACAACATTTCTACGTACAACAGAGAACATTTTATTATTATTATTAGTAGTAGTAATTAACTACAAAAAAAATTATTTAATATATGAAAAAAGTTGTATACACATAGGTATTTTTTTAAATTTTATAACATTGTTTATTTATCATAATTATTAATGCTTGTTGAATTAGTTGATGGTGGCCATGTTATAACAAATTCATCAAAAGCATGTGCAAATGTATATGATATATAAATATTCTTCCATGAATATTCATTATGAGAAAGATAAATTAATTTAGACATTTTATAAAGAATAAAAACAAAAGAAAAAGAAGGACATGCTATTTTATTTCTATATCGATTGTATCTCAGTGGTGAACGCGCCATATTTTTCTTTTCATTTGTATATGTAATTCAATACAATTATTCACATATACTACGTATAATAGAAAAAAAAAGTAGTTTTAGCTTTCAAAAATAAATCTATATTAAATAATGAGAACTTTTGTACATCAAAGACTAAATATACATTTATAATGAATGAATTTATTACTTATACAAGAAAAAGAAAAGAAAACATTTGTGCATGATCGATGCATCAGCACTATGAGATGTAACTATGACTTCGGATAAAAAAAATCTTCAGAATGAAAAGGAATTATTGTTAACATGTCCTGAAACCTTTTACATCACTATTAGAACATCAACTAATGAATAAACAAAATTAGAGTTTTTGCTAAATTATTTTGTGCAAATTTTTTTTTTCAATAAAGACTACAGATATAGTTTAAATGAAAAGCTTATGCTACTGTTAGAGATGTAATAGTGAGTTAAGCCTTTCTTTGACGAGAAAATCGAATTCGAGAATTTCAATAAATCTCGTATAGATCAGAGTTGTCACCGAATCGATTCAGAAAACTTTTTAGATCGGTGAAAACTGGCTTATTGAATCATTATTAATCGGTTAATGGAAACATCTTCAAAAAAAAACGTTCATTTTGATTTTTGCATTCAGATTTTTACAGACTTCCAGAAAGAAATATCATGTTATGGTTATCATTTATACCTGTTAGGTTACTCAAAGATGAATATATGAGTTTCCCATATATATATATATCGTGAAAAAGTAAGAGTTATTTACCCATCAACTGATTGCTAAAGTCTAAATCTTGAACTTTCTTACTCAACCTTTTCAGATAAACTGAATATTTCTCTTCAAACAATGATTCAAATCTAAATTTAATATTTACCAAAACATATATGAAATAAGTTTAGCTTAAGTAACACAATTTTGATTGTGCTTTTTAAAAAATGAAATATAATTTGATTTAGAGGAACAAACCAGTGTCATCAAGTGTTATCAACAAGTTTACTATAAATTTGGATTCCTGGGGCGCAAAAATCTTTAGTCTATTTTTATAAAATACAGCTATTTTCTTGAAATGACCTTTCCCCGACTGAAAAAATCGAAATCAATTCAAGACCACACCATAGTTTTATTATGCGTTCACTGTTAATCAATAGATATATAGTTAAACCTGTGCAAAGCTGTACGTAAGATCGACGCACTCCTAACTTCTCTATTGTCCAGTATAGGAAGATACGAAGCGAAATAAGATCATTTAAAAGTTTATTACTTTTACCTAAAAAAATAAAATCTATGCTGTTCATGGTTTTATAGACACTTATTGTATAAATAGACATAACTGATATTTGGTAAATGTTTATTACATGAGTAATATCAAGAAAAATGAATAGATCAATTATTTTTATTTCTATCTATTAGCTTCAGTTTTCACATGTATCCTATATTAATATTATTTCGTGACAATTTGCGAAAGTCTGGCCATCACCTTTGGTATGACCAACGGATGCACTAAAATCGAACTATTTTTCATTACCATACCGCAAATATAAAAAAAGAAAAAAACTTTAAATATATCACCTAAGTCTATTCTATATGACCAATTATTGTTATAATATTCTCTTTGATTTGTTATCATAAATATCAAACATTTTTTTAAATTGATTCGATCTGAAATAAATCAGAACACATATTTGATGTATTTATTTATTTATAGAAACATGTTTTATTTATGCAAAAAAAAAACAAAGAAGCATCATTCAAACAGCTACTCCTTGATTTCCAGTTAATGTTTGCACTAATGTTCCTTCTTCATTCATTTGTTTAAGAATATCTAATCCACCAATAAATTGTCCATTAACATATATTTGTGGATATGTTTGCCATGATGAATATTCTTTAAGTTTTTGTCGAACATTTTCATCTTGTAATATATCAAATGTTTTATAATTTTTAATATTAGCTTGATTTAATAGATTAATTAATTCTTTTGTAAATCCACATTTTGGTGTTTCAGATGTACCTTTAATAAAAAGCATTAATGGTGCTTGATTTATTAAATTTTCTAAATATTTTTTCATATTTTGATCTTTTCCATTTGTTTTTAATTGTTGTTGAAATTTTGATTGAAATTCACCATTTTCAATCATTTGTTTCATTATATCTAAACCACCAATTAATTCACCATTAATATATAATTGTGGATATGTATTCCAATTTGAATATATTTTTAATTGTTCACGTAAATTTTGATCAGAAAGTACATCAAAATAATTATATTTTATTTTATATTCATCAAGTATATGACATGCTTGTCGACTAAAACCACATTGTGGATCAGTTGGTGTACCTTTCATAAATAAAATAACTTGTGATGATTTTAATAAATTTTTTATTCTATTTTCAACATTTATATCAGTATTAGATTTTATTTCAGTTGTTATTGGTGTAAGACCAATTTTATTAATATGATATTGAATTTTTTTTAATAAATCACTTTGATTAAAACCATCAACACGATCAATTAATTTTGTATGATAATAGAAAAGTACTGTTGGTGCTGCATTAACATTTTGTAATGTAAGAAAATCAGAAAAATGATCAGCATTTAAACGACATATAGCCAATTGTTGATGAAATTCTTCATTACGACTTATAGCTAATAAAGCTTCATTGACTGTTTTACAAACAGGTATTTCTTCTAATTCAACATGAACAAGTAATAATTTATTAATAATAGATGATGAATTCATATATTCATCTAAATCTTTTTGAGTAGCAATTTGATGAACTTCAAGATTATTTTGACTGGACATAATTTATCTAGGAAAAAAAAAATAGAAATTAAAAAACAAAAGACACTTGAAATATGATCTCATATTCTTGTTTAATTTTATTTTATATACAAAACAAAAAAGATTAACTCAAGATAATGAAGAGCTAAGACTATTTCTTGTTCTTCTTTGATTTTAATGACGACGATTTTTTCTTGATGGTGAATGACTATGTGAACGTGATCTAAACAAACGTATAATCAATTTATCAATTTCATAAAACATACAAAGATAAACATTACAAACCGTTTTCGACGTCCACGAAGACGTTTTTTAACATCCTGTGATATTGTTTTTATGTGCATAAAATTACAAAAACCACTTCTCATACACTATTAAAAATAAATACAAAAAGAACAAAATTTTCCTTTATATATATATATATATAAAGAAAAACAAAAAGACCCACTTCGCCTAATTCATACTGTCGACAACTAGCTTCTTTAAAATCCGTAACAGGACTAAAACAAAAAAATAATATTATCATATACAAAAAAAAAGAAATTCAATGAAATAATATCTACCTTAATTCTGCGTAAATTGGTTTTCTATCAAACCATCGTGTATTAAGATCTTCTACAGCACGTTCAGCATCTCGTTCATAACGAAACTAAATAATCATATTTTATCATATTAAAAAAATAAAAATCAATAAATAACCGTTTTTTTACTTTAATATAAATATTTCCTACAAGATGTTCGCCAAGATTGTCACAAACAGTCATTGCTTCAATTTCACCATACTAAATCAGTTATATACAAATCGTATTCACGATATAAGAGAAGAAATAAAATAGGGATGATCAAAAAAATATAAACATTTTTCCTAAAAAACCTGTAAACACAGAGAATTTTTTGTTTTCATATTTATCATTCTACCTTTTATATCTTTATACATATGAAGAACATTTTGTTATAATAAAAAAGAAATGTAAAGATCCTCCTGCAAAAATGGGACTAGAAAAATTTGTGAAATATATTAATTAATATTGTACGTGATAATTTGAGATGCAAGTGTCGTTGATGTCTGATTTTCACAAATCAAGCCTGCAATAATGGATAGAAGCTTAGGCAGATTGGTGATAACAAACAAAGGAAAGAATATCAAAATTTAGTTTTATTTTCGCATTCTCTAGATTCGCATAAACATTCAACAAAAGGATAAAGGGAAACTTGAAATCTTTATTTGATAAATTATAACCAGAGATCGAACTTACCTTATCTTCAACTTCTGTATAAACTTCTTCATAAAATTCACTAAAATAGAAATATATATGTATTAAAATAAATTTCTAAAATATTCAATATTATCAAACAAGGAAATCTCTACTAAATGAAATTACAATAAAATTCGTATGATTTAATATTTGATCTTCTTCTCGGCTCTATGTACAGATTTGTCCTTAATTCGATGATGTGTATAAACTACGCTTATGGCTTATTTTCTACAAAAGTTATTTGTTCTGAGGAAGACACTCCACCGCATATGAAAGCATCCATGCAGCTCATGTATCGCCATCTATTAGTACGTACCTGTACTGCCATACCAACATATATACCCCCGAAAAATTTAGAATTCATGTACTGGTATGTACTCATCAATTCACTAAATGCTAGTACATAAAATCTAGACCTTTAAATTTTTCGAAGATCTATGTTTTCTTATGGCATTGTACGTACATGACTCATATAGATGAACATGCCAATACAAGTTGTACTCATATTGGTGCATCTCTGTTTGTTCTATAATTTCGGACAGTTCATGATGCTCTTCATAAATTTTATATTTTAATGCAATACTATTCTAAGTAAGAGAAAAATTATTTCTGAATTTTTTTCTTGAACAAAAAAAAATCAAATATCTCGAATGCAATCAACTAATATATAAAACTTTGTCATCAATCGAGTTTAATAACAATTCGAAAATTTTCTTTAAAATTCTCATTTCCAATTAAATTTGAACTATGTAAACAATCTACTAAATAATAGAATGATCTGTTTCTATGTTTTTAAGTAATACAAATAAACAATCAGATTTTTTTTCCTTGTTCAATCTAAAGTTATTGATATAGATATTTACTCGAAATGTTGTTGTACTTCTTCATCTGTAAAAGTATTCCCACTAAATTGTTCTAGTAAAAATTAATATTAAACATTTATAATAACTAAATTAAAATATTGACTTACCAAAGCCACCTTCTGGTTTTGGAATAGAATTATTATTTGGATTTAAATAAAGATTTTTCAGAAGAATTGTCTAAAAATAAAATAAGAATTTTATTTTGATAAAAATTTATTTATCATACTTGACTGAAAGTAGGTTTATTATGAACACGAGAACATCTAGAAACAAAAAAAAAAGAAAATTTAAACTTCAATATATATATATATCAAATTCTTACCGTTCACCATGACGACAAGCACCAATTTTAAAATAGAATGAACAATTTACTCTAAAAAATAAAAAGAGATATTACATAGGATTAATATAAAATTGAAAGATTAATTGAAATATTTACTTGTCTTTTTCAGTACCAAAAATAGAAGCAAGATATTCAGCCATTTTTAATTAAGATCTATTTTCCGAAGAAGAAATGACGAGCGGAAATTGATCTAAAATGCTGTTGTTATGAAAATAAGAGAATTACTTCTCATTTTTTGTTCATTTTTTAAATATAAAAGATGAAAGTTATATGGTACTGTGATAAGCAGCGCTAACATCAATAGAATTTCCAAATAGATTGTAGTGACAAAAAAAATAAAAAAATAGACTCATTTTAGAAAGTTATATATTAGAAAAAAAACAAAGATAATCACAGAAATTTAAAATAGATTATTCGAGCAAGTATTTGATAATGATATCTATCGTCAAGAGAAGGATTTGATTATAGTTAAACAACAAAAAAAGAGATCTCGATTGAATGCTAGTGACATCTACTTAATATTGACGATGCATACACTGAAAGCAATTTTTTTTGATAAAATTGATTATGCACATAGGTCTTGATTAGGATAAAGAATATTTTTCATTTTTGTTCATGTCATCTTGTATAGTGATTTTAATTAATTTTTTCATAATTCAAAGTGATATTTCATGTTTGTTGTTAAAAAAACCTACTTTAAGTTATCCTGAATTCAAATTCAAATAACAAAAATGACCGGAAATTAAATATTTTAAAAATCAACGTCATCATCTGTCCACAACTTCAACAAGATTGAACACTCTTAGAATTCAATGAACAAGTTAGAGGTTATGTTGAATTTCTAATTGTTCATAAGAATTAACATTTGAATATAAAAACATAATATGAATCCATGCACAAGGTGTCGAAGGTTTGTATTCACTGACTGAAAGTCAAGAACATTTGTTTTATAGCAGTTTGCTTCCTCTAGAGTTTGCTCAATCAACATAACACACTTTAACACCGAAGGCTCTATCTTCACAGTAGGAAAGGACATTCATAAACTATTTACTGACTTGTCAAAATACTATATTCGAAACTTTATTTCGTAATAATTGTAAGAGAACCTGACTTATATTCATTAATAAATAGAAAAACATGTAAGACGCTCATTGACATGTATTGAGGAATATCTAAAGCTGTAAGTATAGCCTTTTGAAGCATTAATGTATATTTCTAAGTTTAGTAAAGAGAAGTTTTAGATATTCTAAGGAAAATTTGAAAGATAATGATTCGATAAAGCAATATACATTTCGGTAATAAAGAATGCAAGAATGTCTATTGGTATTACAAAGTAAAAGAAGTTATCTTAATCATTCTTTTGATCATTTAATAAGGCTCATTCTCAATTCTTCATAATCCTAAATATATTTGGGATATTTCTACCAGTAAAAATACTTTTCTAGAGCAACATACGATTTACCAACGGTTTTTTTTTCGCATTGAATATTGATTCAAAAAGTTTTTCTTGTCTAAATTTGACAACAATTAATAAATTTACTAATCGAAATCCTTTTCATAATTAAAATGAAAAAAGAACAAATTTCAACAACAAACATTGTACACAACAGAAATTGACGAAATAACGAAAAATGATAAATGAAACATTATAAAATTGTCGTTAAATATGTGTTTAGAAATTTCGAAAATTAGTTCAAATACCAGAAAAAAGACAATCTTCAAAAATACGAAAATGAAACTTTGAAAAGTTATTTAGTATAAATACGCAGAATCATACTCATCACAAAAAAACGTCTCTTGAAAATTTATCATAATATTTTACTTATTTTAGAAAATTTTCTTCTTTCGAAAACTTTTTGTCTGAAATTATTGTTTATCATTTCTATAATTAATTTCTTGAAATTTGATCCATTAATTTAGGAATTTCTTTTATTTTGTTTTGAATATTTACAAGTATCACTTATATAGTTATTCTTTGAGAAAGATGAACTTTCTTTTACAAAGATATTTCAATAGAAAGTTTTCTCTTCCAAACATGACACTTTTTCATTTGTATCTTATTAAATTGTATTTCGAACAGATGTCCACTACATTTTTTTCCTTAGAATAAATTGAGCAAATAATAACAAAACTTTATTGTATTTAAAATCGATAGAATTCTCTTTGAATCTTTTATTTTTGAAGTTCAATCTTTGTTTAAATATATAACAAATATAATTAATTGAGATAACGAATATGATTACAATGTTAAAAGAAATAGATCAATTTGAATTTAATTTTGAAAATTTTCTTGTTATCTACACTTAAAAAAATATACGATTCATTTTCCAATACATGTTTTTATTTATTTTTCTAAAAAGAAAATTTTTTAATTTATATTAGAACTTTATATTTATTCCGTTTTTTAATCAACAAAAAAGTTTAATTCATATAGAATTATTAAAATCAATAAAAAGAATTTCTTCCATTTAGAATCTATTGAAAATTCAAATTTTTCATTTTCTTTTCGAAAGTGAAGAGCTTGTCAGCGCATTTTCTGATAGGTTTAAAACGTCGAACCTACATAAGAATATAGTTGTTAAAAACAATAAGAAGAACAGAAATTAATAAGAGAAAAATTCAACTATGAAAGTCAAAAAGAATATAATCAATGCATCTTGATGGTTTCTTTTGTTATTTCTTTTGAACAAGAAAACAAATAAAAAACTAAAATTTCAATTCAAGGAGGATTATTTTTGAAAGAAAAATATCCGTAAATGAGTCTGGAGAGTCCGACAAGTTCGAATATATACTTCCACTTAATACTTCATTTTTAGTGAATTCCAAAAAAGTTTTATGATGACTATTTATTAATGGTTAAGAGATATATTGCTATAGCGAACGCTTTTTCTCAGAGTATGACCAAAACTCAATTAAACCATGATTCACTAATGAGCAATATCTAAATAGAATTGTACAAAATTATTGATTCGAAACTTAATCTATTAGAATATCTTCAAAGTAAATTTGAATAAAGAAATATTGCCTTTCACAGATCAAATTCGTCAGATATCCATATAATTAGATTTCAAAACGTCAATACTCTCCATAAACAAGTTGAATAGAGTCATTTGAAATTTTACTTCTTTTTTCACATTGAATACTTATCTGAATCTGATTTAATTGGCATAATTCTAAAACTAGATCAGTGTATGTGCCTTGTTCATTAACTTAACTAGATCCAATTAAAATTAGATCGAAATGAATTGTCACTAAATCTATTAGAATGATTAACTACATTGTCTTCTTTATATTTGACAAATACTATTCCAAAGATATTCATCATATTTCAAAATCACTTTTAGTGTTCTTCCATTTTTAAATGCTTCAATAAAGTTACTGATATATTTTAGAGATGAGGAGCGATTATGAATCCGACCGTTACTTTTATTTACGTGAATGATAAGAAAATCCAAAAAAAAAACATTTCACAACAAAAAAAATTAAAGAATTGGCTTTTGTCTGCAATTAGTTGATTGACTAATTAGTTAATGATAATAAAATTATCGAAACGTCGTAGGACGAAAAATTAAATAAAAAAAACTTCTTTTTTCTTTCATTGCTGCTGTAAAATAATCTCACGATAAGTAATACAGATAAATAAAAACAAAACTACATAGTTAATCATTATTTTTTCAGAACTCGACAAAAATACGTAAATGTTACAAAATTTTTTATCAAAAGATTATTACAAAAAAATAAATATGAATGAAAATATGAGCAACACTATACCTGCCACAAAGTACATGTATGAGACTTCAATTAACGACGGAATAAACTCTAATGGAAGAGAAGAACTATTTAAAAGAACATTTCGATAAAAACAGAATGTCTCAAAATGCATTACTTTATTTTAAATTTAAGAAAATTACATGAGAGGCAGCATAGTTTAGAAAAAATAAAGAAAAACTCAGAATATTTATTTTATTTACGGAAAAAGTATTAATTCTAATATTCTTCTTCTTTCAAAAAAGGGTGAGCGAATCGTTAGATGAGCGTTACTTGTAGTTAGATACAAGGGAAACAGCTGATTTCATGATTCTGGTGATTCCATGGATTCTGAGCGATTCTACATGATCCCAAGAGATTCCAAGTGATGCCATTGATTCTACAATGATTCCAACACTGCAGAATCAGCTTTTTCCCTCTTGATAAAACCTAAATTTTCTTAGTGTTATATTTAAATCAATACAGATCTTTACAATAGTTATAATACTTTTACATAAATCATTTATTTTTAATCTTTTATTCTTTCGGATGTTTAACATAGGAATTTGGTGGAAAAAAATTTCGAAGTGTATCTATTGAATGATAGAATGGATCTAAAGTTCGTACAGTTCCTACTCTAGAACAATTGTCTTTTGCTTGTTGTTGATCTTGAGCGATTATTTTTAACAATATATTATTATCAATGGCAAGTTCAATAAGAGAAGGAAGATGACTTCGACAAAGTAATTGTTCAGCATAATTCAAATGAATATCAAATAAAATCAGAGTAGTTAAATGAGTAAATTCAAGATTATTTGTTGTCGTTTCTATTTTCTCTTGTTGTTCAAGTTCATTCATTATGTCAAGTGTTTTAAGATGAGGTAAAGCTCGAGAGATACGTTCAAAAAAATCATTTTCGAACGGTTGGATATCATCGAAAAGTAATAACTTAGTAACCATTGAAAATGTTTTATTAGTATCAAAGAGTGGAAATCGATTTGAAATAAAGTCAAGACGAGTACCTATAAATGGAAGTGAATAAATTTGACATTGACCATGGTCATTATTAAAATAATCGATTGCACAATCAACAGATTGTTGTTGTTTCATAAAACTTTGACGAATTGTATCGATTTCTACATGAGAAACATTTGGTAATATTGAACGAATATGAAAATGAAATTGACATAAATGAGGCATGTATGAAATAATGTCTTTATCCAAATCAAACCCATCAATAAAATGTTTGGATGTATTTCTTTCGAATTCAATAGCTAATAATAATATTAAATATTCGACATTTGATAAACGTTGTAAAACAGGAAGAAACATATTTTCATAAAAAAATATACTGCGATAGCTTATCATTGTCAATCGTTTCAAATTAGGACATGAAATCTATATGAATTAATTAAATGAGATTCGCAATTAATAAATATTACTTACTGATTTAATTTTAGAAATACCAACATCTAGTGCAGAAACAAACATCAAATTTACAACGAATGAACATAATTGTGAGCCCAATTGATTAAGTAAACAAATGCAATGTTCGAATTGAAATAATGTTATTCGGATATGAGTCAGATGAATTGATTCAGGAAAAAATAAACCATCATCATTAAATATATTTGTTAAAATACAATCATCATCCAATTCGAAAGATACAATCGAAGGCACAGATAATGAACAAAGAAATTTAGATAAAGTGCGAGCAGTACTGCTCTTATCTAGTACAGAGAATTGAGGTACATTTGAGCAGAGAGTAAAATACCGTGAAACACCGTAAAGATTGTTGCCTAATAATATATATATAAATATCACAATGTTTTCCCAAGTATAGTTTTTATCAGAAGGGTAAAATCATCGGTATCCAACCATTTTTAGAGACAAGTTTTTTGTCGACTTCTACTTGAAATAGAGAAGATTCAAATTGCTTTTTAGGAACATCTAAGGAGAAGAAGAATCAACCAGGTTATTATAATGTTTAAAGTTCATATTCTGGCCAGAGATAGGAGGTCAGTGGACTGGCACATATTCTAATGATTCCTTGTTTTTTTCAATGTATTATGATTGAAATATAAGATTTTTAAGGAACACAATTTTGATCATAACGTTTTTATCACAATGCATACGTAGAAAAGTCTTATATCTCGGTCATAATATATTGAAAAAACGAATCCTCTAGAGGTTGTGCTAGTCTAATGATCTACTACCTCTCTGACCAAAATATGAGCTTTAAATATTATAATAACCTGAATGATCCATTTTCTGCTTAAATGTTCCTAGAAAACGACTTGAATCTTCTATATTTCAAGTAGAATTCTTTTTTTTTTAAATTCTGAAAAATTAAGAATTTCTCTTATTTTATAAATAGAAAATGAACTAAAACAATAGTTAATCGTAGTTTACCTAATGTATAAGATGTGCCTGTCATAGGATTTTGTCTACTAATTATTATTTTCAAATATGTCAAATTTGGAAGAGTTCCATTAGAATATCTTTCAACAAAAGTAATCATATTTCGAATATGTTGAATACTTAATGTCAATGATTGAATATTATTAATGATACAAGGCATAACATGTGTATAAAAACGTGGAATAATAAATTTATATGGTGATTGAAAATAATCAAAAGTTAAATCAATTGAATGACACATATCAAGTGCAAGTTTTTCTAAACGACTATTACCAATAGTGATAATAGAACAAAGCAATAACACTTTAGGTTTGACTTTATTCATAATAATTAAAATTAACTCATCAGGTAAATCAATCAGCTGAATGGAGTCTTCTGTAAAGAAGAATAATAAAAATAAATAATATTATGAAAAAGCTATACATACTCATACCTGATAAAGAATTCATTATCGATATAATGTGTCTATCTGACAATAGAATAGACGTATACTTATATAATGCTTGACGGACATTGTCTAAATGATAGCCAATCATTGATAATCAATTATTTTAACAAAAGATTCCTTACAAAAAAAAGAAACATACAGATGAATTAATCCGATGAGACTATTTACCAGATATTTTCAATGTAAATGTAATTTATTGATTTTTGATATATCTAACTATAGAAGTGGCCCATTATAACACTAGAAACGATAGAATGGTTAATATCACCTATTTACTTATTAATAAGTGTGCACCTATAGAGAATTTTATGCATATATTGATGTGCTATAATAAAACTCGAATATATATTGATAAGTTATTAGATATTTCATATTTATGAATGATTTTTTTTTAAGTTTAGCAATTTTATCATTATTATAGAGATAAATAATTAAAAATATCTTGAAGGCGAGCGTATGGATGAGAAAGTATATTGTGCTTAGAGGACAGAAACGAATACATATGTGTGTGCATATATGAATGTATACAACATGAAAGGAAATATCCAGTATAGTATATATGAAAAGATAAAGGAAAACAATACATATAATGACCTAGTTGTAGGGAAGATACCAAGAAATGGTATCACTTATTTTATAGGGAAAAAAGTCTATATACGATTTACCAACACATATTGGAAGAATTAACAGTATGAACATATAATTAAGCCTACATACCTTTCTCATATTTCAAGCTTGTATATTGAGAAACTAATCAAAGACAGAACATGTGACAAACCCAAGCAAAAATGTTTTTACTCAATGACATGTAATACACAACTCGATAAAAAATCAATTTAAGCCATATACAGACACTTGGATCAGCCAATTTTGCCGCTACTGATTATCGTTTTACGTACTCCATTGTTTTTCTCAGAAATAGCACCACTGTGAGAAATTTTCTGCTAGAAGAAATCTTTGCAAAAACGACAAAAAAAGATGTTATCGTAAGATAGAACACACTGAAATACCTATATCTTGATTTACTCAGACATATCATAATGGTTATATTTCTAAAGTAGGAGGCTTCAGTAACAATACTCCTCCGCACAAACTATAAAAGATAAAGAATTTGCTTAAGTTCTATGATATAGAGGAGGCTCCAGTCTATATATTGACATAAAAAAATCGTTATGTCCTTATGTAAAGTTTTCGAGCTATCAGTCAATCTTTCAGAGATTCACTAAAAAGTGGATCTCATAAAATTCATCGAATGTTTTGTCTGGTAGAAAAAAGATGCGCTATCGTCGTGGCTATCTATTGGTGAAAATCGCAGATCTCTATCTCATTTTGTTCTTGAGATATTTAAAAAATAGTCATACGCACGGACTTTTTGGACAGACATTACGTGTACGATCACGAATATTTCTGGAAAGAAAAGACAATATATTATACATATATGACGACAATGCAATTACCATTCCTTTTTTTCCTATTACGATCTTCTACCAGACTTGGTGAACACATACATATGTGAAAGTATGTCCAATTTCATTCTTCGCAAATATGTAAGATCTTCATTGCAGTTGTATTCATCTAGATAAAGATTAGAAAAAATGAATTATAAAATTAAAAATGAATCACTTACTTATACTTGAGCTTTACTTCTCGAAGTTCATCAATTGCTTTGTTGACTTTGCTTTGAACAGAAGCTTGACTAGAATGAAAATACATTAATCATTATTTATCATATACACCAAAACATTGACTTACTGATACATGTAGAACAATTGTGTGGGTGTTATATTGAATCTTCTATACATTCACACTCATCCAACCCCACTCACTCATATCCACATCCAACCCCACTCACTCATATCCACATCCTACACCCGCATTCCCACACGAATCCACATCTACACCCATCCTTACTATAATCAACACAATCATGTTTTTGAGTCCATACTTCAAAACCAGTATAGCCGATTTGATAAGCGAGGTACAAATATTCGTTCCAAAAATCTACTCGAACAATGATTATTATATGTACATAGCTATATACAACAATATATATCCATCTTTTCTTGTATTCTTTCATTTGTCCTTCGTTACAAATACTAACACGACAAGTAATAACTATAGCGTTCAAGTAGTTTGACGACATTCAATAATTAAGTACTTCATTTTGAAAGGACGGGAACCAATTACAGTCTACAAAAGTATTTTCTCGAGCAATAAACAGCGAATATTCTTACTGTCAAATATACAGGGTGGCCCAAAAGTAATAGGACATAAAGGGTATCCTATAATAACTGATGATAAATTGTTTATGGTATTTTTCATACTTTTTATTAATGTAGAGAGCTGAAATTTTTATCACATATATATCTAATCAAGACCTTTTACTACTGAGAGTGTCGATGTGGATGTTCTTTTTATGCACATCCGCACCTACACCCTTCTATGCTTGAAAAATCGATATATTTAGTCTAATTTAGAAAAAAGAAATTACACGCTATATTTTATTTATATGTAATGATAAGCATAGAAGAATATACTAATCCATAGTTTCGCGTATCGTTTATATCTGTAGTCAAAATAATTGTGTAGGTAATCAATATAGGAACCATTTGAAGTATAGAAATCAGTATCAACTTCATGAACATGTGTTTAAAAAGATGCCAATTGTATTATGATTATGATTTGCAGAGACAAAATCCAGTCGATTATCTCCATTAAAATCTCCAGTCGTTACGTCAACTGGACCAGAACCAGTACCAGTCGAATAGGTCTTTTGTTTTCTAAATTTTCCATTACCATATCCGAGTAAGATACCTACATTATCCGTACCAGAATTAGAAACGATCAGATCTTGTATATTATCGCCATTAAAATCACCATTAACAATTGCATAAGGTAAAGATCCACTACCAGTAGAAAAACTTTTTTTTCGTCTGAAAGCTCCGTCAATATTTCCAAGAAGTATACTTGTATTATTTCCATAATAATTAGCTGTCACAATGTCTAATAAACCATCTCTATTAAAATCAGCAGCAACGAGTGCATATGGACCAGATTCAATAGAGTATGTTGTCTGTGCTGAAAATTTTCCTGTTCCATCACCAAGAAAAATACCGACATAATTTCCATCACCATTACCAACGGCAATATCAAGTCGATTATCTTTATTAAAATCATTAATAACGATTAAATACGGACCTGAATTACTACCAGTCGATAGTTCAAGTGTCTTTGTGAATGTTCCATTACCAGTTCCAAGAAAAACAAGTAGAAGACCATTTTCATGAGAGGTAACTACAAGATCTAAAATATTATCATTGTTCAAATCATTAAGAGCAAGTCCCGCTGGAGAAGAACCATTTCCTGTGGAAAATGTTTCTTGTTCTGAAAAGCTTCCGTTGCCTTGTCCAAGAAATACTCCAACATTCCCG